AGGACAGCCAAAATGTATACACAGTTAAACCGAACCCCGTTAATCCGAATATTTTGTTAAACCGATTTATTTCTTGAACACGCCTCCAACCCTATGTAAATTACCTCGTTAAACCGAAAATTACTATTAATCCTATAAGCTGTTAACCGAAGATTATTTTGAACCGTCTATTACTATATCAAATTTACCCCGATAATCCGAATTTTTTTTTTAAAAAAACGGCGCAATGTCTGTATAAACTGAAGATCTCGACGTGTTAACCAATAAAATTGAATTAATGACTTATTGACTCGAAGTTGCAAACGGAAATTAGCAGTTTTTTTTAGTACTGATTAATCCAAGTTGTTTTATTTACAAATAGTAATTTTCGAGTAGTTTTAAACCGATTTTACAAATAAACATCACACGCGAGAGTGTGACCGAATATTGATTTAAACGTCCGCTTTTTTTAACCAAGAATAGTTGTTTACAGAGAAATTCAAATTACTTCTCCTGCTAATCCGAAGTCGTCATGTTCAGTATTATAAACTTCGGTTTATAGGGGTGTCCCGTTAATACGAAGACCCCGCTAATCCGAAGAAAAAGGGTGGAACGGACGCCTTCGGTTTAATGGGGTTGACTGTGTATAAGCAACCCTTCCGACCGTCTAAAAACCTTACGTTGCCAATGTTTACGTTGTAAATTGAACAATGTTCGATGCTGAAGTATTCGGATATAATAAACGATCATTATCATTTAATTATTACGAAACTCTTTATTATACTACTATTGTTTACTGACATCAATTCTACGTGGCCGATGGTTTTACAAGTTTGTTAGGAATAAATTCCCGCTTGTAATATTGTGGAAGAAAGTTGTCAACGCAGTAGATCGTTAATTTTGTAGCTGTGAAAAAAAGATTAGAGATTCTCGAACGATACTTATTTTATTATTTAATTAGAAAGTGACATTTTTCGACTAGTCGAAACACTAAATCGAAGACCGCCCTAGTTAGTATAGTATAAACGGCCCCCTTCGATTCTGCGATAGTATAATTGTTGTTATATTACCGTAAGTACCCTTATTATTATTCAGATACGTCGTATAGGGAGTGAAAAGAAAGCGCGAACATAAATAATTATCGTCACTTGTTAGTTTAGTTCAGCCTTAAGTGAGCTATTATTGTAGTAAAGGCCTCTCGGCAGGTACTCTCTCAACTCAAGTTTGTGGACGTCGACCCGTAACAATATGTATGATTTACCAAATGATGAAAAAATCTCAACTTGTGAGTTCTTAATTCTCTTAAGCTTAATTATTTGCCCAATCCGTCAGGGAAGCAAATTGATGAGAGCACTCACAAATATTCTCAAACTTTTGCTCATAACAGAACTTCTGGATACAAGATTAGGAAAATGGTAGTATTTATTCCATTCCCTGCAATTCTTCCTGTCAGTCTCAAAAAACAACGGTTATGTGACCAATTGTTGTTATATCTGTTGACTTATGCTAAGAGTACAAGTCTTGTGATACTCTAATCACACAAAAGAAACAAATTTGGCTCAAATTTCAAAAACAATCTGTACATAGTAATAGTAAATTATATGCACAAACTGCATTATTATTTAAGGTAGTTAAATCAAGAGAAAAAGTCCCGAATCTGGCTTATCCAGTAATAGATCAGTAACCGTTTATTCTGTCTGGTGGATAATTACATTATTGTAATTTTGTAAGTTATTCAATAGACCCATTTAAATTATACCGGTATGCTAACAAGGTTCGAATAGTAGGTATTACTTACTGCGATCGTATGATTACATAAAAATTGAATTATTCGATCTTCAACATTACATCTTATAACAGGTAGCGGCTCGGCTTGTCTCGAATATTTTGTTTAATGTACATGTAGTAATAAATGATTTTCTTGCGTATACGAGAACATTATTAAGTAAATGCAGCTTATGTAAAATTATATGGGGGCTACGTTTTTTTCTTAATAATGATTGCATTACTATGTTAAATTACTAATTAATGCAAAGTTTACGTAACTAATGACAAATTTAATTACTACAACGCTATTCTCTAATAGGATTCTCACAACCCACGCAGGACAATGTAAGTTAAGTGTATTAAGTTATCTTAATGTAAGAATTTATAGTAATTGACTCTCTTCCAGTTGTAATGTTTGTAATCACGTGCCCATATTAAGCGATTACTCTTTATTTGTTGTGTCAATAAAAGAACTTTTCTTGGAACAATCGTGTTATAATCAAGGTACGAGTGAATAATACTATCGCTAACTTCAAGTCTTTCGATACTTTTCTTCCAAAAAGCCTTCATTTCAGTAGTCATTGCATAACAGTTACCCTTGATAATCATCCCAAGCTAGCATCATTTTTCGACGTCAGGCCGTAAAATATTATCGTAACGTTAATAATTTCACCGCGAAAGTCGTAAGCCGTCGAGTGTCAAATTGAATGTAATTGCAAATCCAATTAGATTGCACAATTCCAACTTGGATGTTTACGTCTCGAAAGATAAAAAACCTCTTGACTGATGGTTTGGGTAATGATGCAATGTGACATAGTGATTGTTGAAAAGACATCCTTATCTTCTGCGATTTGTTTGCTTAAAAAAACATAATGTCGTTAGTTAATAACCACAATTAACAACATAACACGATACACAATGTTTTTTAGAAAATTTTAAACAAGTTTCTTACCCAAAACTCGCCGAATGTTATGCCAAGTTAACTGGCAATGTTGCGTTATTTCTAAATCAATAAATTATGGTAGAGTTTATGTAAACAAGATAACACTGCATTAGCTGCTCGAAGTGATAAGATTCGTACACCAATTTGTGAGTAAATTTACTAGATATACTCATTTCCGACACTAGTAAGCTAATTATACTACAACAACTTTAACAAGCAAAACAAACTTGATGAAGAATTTTAGTGACAGTGCAGTGTACCTTCGTTGCGTATACTGAATAATTGCCCGAACAATAAACACTACGAGGCCCGAAAAGCTTTCGAATAATTCGGTTTTTACACCTAGTAGGCAGCGTATTTCACTGTCTTTTTTCTGCCACAAATCTCGTCTTTAAATGAAAAACCATTTTCAAGTCGTTTGGTTTTCTCGGACTTGTTATAGACAATCTCGTTCGATAGGAACATTTTTACGGTTTACTAAATGAGAGAAGAAATCAATAATGTGCATTACAAAAAAAAATCACAACTGTTCTTCGAAGAAACAACGTGACTGTGTGTCAAAAAATTGTTACACACTTTTATTGTAGTACACGCAACATCTAACCGCCCGCTTCAACCCGTCGAAACGAATTGCTACGATAAAAAAGCCTCTGCCCCAATCGGTCGATATCTCAATCAACCCAATATACTTTTAATTACGCGGGTAAAACTGGGAGTAATAGAAAAATGCGGAACATGAAAAGTCAAAATTTTACATGTGGCTGTGTGCATTTCTCGTCAGTCCCAATAATAGACACTTTTTACAATTCTTCTACATGTTTCTATACGCATGCCTATCTGCAGACAATCGATATAATTATTAAGATATTATCGCCATGATACAAATTATTCTAATTAATTATAGCTTAGTCTGTCGGCAATGAATTATTACACCGGTCACTACTTTGTAAAATATGATAGATTTTATCAGTAAAAACTTTTTTACTGCGTATATTCCAGAACAATCGCGATATTATGTCACATAATGTTACACTGAAAAAAATTTGGTACTTATTGGGTTATTGGTTGAAAATTGTAGACTCTCACACTCCTTATTGCATACGCAACAACATTTATACTTATAAGGTTACGTTCAAGCAATGAGTAGTACAGATATGTCATATTTCGTCATCTAACACGCAAATACGCGTCTACTCATACACGTATATATACCCAGATGCCCCTCTCCATCACACGTTTATTACTTCGTAACAAACTCTTCTCCTTCAAAGAGCAAATTCAAATGTTATACAATTTCTCTGACACATCAAAAAACAAACTCTTACCAAGCAAAACAACACAGTTTATCGACGATAAAAGAGTTCTACTACTCATACATTGCGCAAATATCCATTTACTATAATAAACTCTCTCGCTTGCAATAGAACGTATTTGAAGTTAAAGTACAACAAACGCGATCCATTGCCGCCACTCCATATTACGCGCGCATACGGCAGTTTCGTACAGCTCACTAACAAATCCTCTAACAACGACACTCACCGTTTATCGATCGTCAACTGATGAAGAAATCTGGACAATATAACACCTGATGTTTTTCTTTCTCGTGTGTGCGATCACTCGACGACAATATCTCCTCCAAATTCAACAATTTTGCAGTCACACTATATTACATACTATGACTGTTCGAACAAACTTACAAATAAAGCCTCTAAAAACGACGCGGTTATTGATAACTACTGATGGAAAGGGTCAAGCACCACATACTGTTTATATATAATTCGGATGCTCCGTACGCATCGCCTTACGATAACACTACCTTCTTATCGCGTCAATACAACAAACAGTTCTTTACGCACTCTATCACGTCACGCATCACCGGCAGGTTTAATACAACCCACGAAACAAGTTCTCTAACAACGGTTACACGTCACTAACTGGCAAAGTGTTACGACACTCCAAGCCTTAACACAACAAGTGTCTTTTCTATGTTACGACGCGACGTATTATGCGCATACGGCGGTTCGCTATAATCACAGACAACCTTTCTAATGACAACACGTTTATCGACTACTACCAAGCACGCACACGTCTGCTCATACATATAGCTTGGACGCTCTTTCTATTGCGCACATCGCCTCACAACACGTAAAAGTTTAAAGGTAATGGGGTAGATAAATTAGCTGTACTAACTGATTATTGTTTTCTACTCGGTTCACTAGGTGGCTGCTCTCTTTCGTCTCTAGCTGGTGAACGGGTGCGGATCTGGATCGAGTAGCGGGTAGTTACCGGTGACGCCCCTCTGCTCACCCCTTCACCAGTGCTCGCCTGCGGTGAAGTGATCCTGGCTGGGTCTGTTGAGTGTGTCACGGGGGATGCCCGGAACACTCTCAGACATCTCCTTTTTTTTCTTTTTCTTTTTCTCTTCAAACAGCTTTTAGATGACGGATAGAAAGCTTTGGGTAAGTATTGGGTAAGTATCGCATTGCTTTCACGACGTAAACTAACTCTATTTTCTTCTCTCCCCTTTTTCTTTCCACTGGTGGGTATGCTGGGTGATCGGATCCAATGGGACTCTGGTGGAGCTGTGGATCGAGTTTGAGGGACCGATTCGGTGATTACTTAGTTGCTTGTGAAGGATCTGTCCCTGAAGCTAATTGGTGAGTTTGCTGCTTAGCATGCCAACTGAAAGCAATAGTCTTATTATTATCTACCCATTATCTCATTTAAATAGCGCGTAGTTAATTAATATCAATATAATACGTTGCATATTTAATAATAATTATTAATGATAATTGAAAGGAAAAAGTTGAAAGAATAATGAATGTAATATAGTAACATATAACAGATATCTAATAATGAACCATGTACAAAAATTAAATGAATCAACTTATTCAACTTGCGTCACGCGACTTTACTATTGCGCCTTTATTACTCGTAAGTTGTTATCCTGATTACGAATCATTCGACTTTTCTTCCACACGTCCTGACAGTGATCCAACTTTTATCTCCCGAGTAAATCTATTCGAAATAAACTGATAGTCTGAGCAGAGATGTGGTCAGATAATCTGATTCACAAACATACAGAGAGGAAGGATTTACACAAAGTATCGATAGTAGTCTTGCAATGACGAATCATAATGTGATAAATGCAAGAATTTGTGTGTCAATGTGGAAGACGATAGTAAAGGATGAGTGGATTTGCTGTATAGCCTTACATTTAGGCGTTTATATTAGAACGCCATAGGAGATGTAGTTTGCGAAGATGGCGCGGCTAAATACAGTGTAGACCTGACCACAGCAAGTGCTTATCTAATATGTTAGCTCCTTATTGTATTCGTCTTATATACCAAGGCATGATCGAAGAGTATCTCGGTATAGTCGTTATAATTTCAGCGGCATTTGTCGCGGATATTCTATTGCTCGAAACCGCTGGACAAAGTAATGTGAGTGATGTAGAAAAAAGAGAGGGTTTATGCACCATTTATCGAAATGATACTAACGCTAATGTACAAAATCCGAGGAGAGTAATCCATACCAGAGTACCATTGGAAAAATGGAAGCGTGTTGAGGGGTTAAAACAGCTGGTATATTTATGCGAATAATATTTGTTAGTGGACTGAGGGAAATTTGAAGAGAACAGCAAATTATCCTCGTAATGATTCTTAATGACACCGAATATGCAATTCATCGAATGTAAATAAATCAGTACAAGCGTATATAGGTTATGCCTCACAACTTTCTATTTTGATCCAACGGTTAAAGAAGTCTAAACTGTTTGAGATACCGCATGACTAGCTTTGAAGACCCTAAGCCAAGTGAATTTCTGACATTGCCAGCCCATGTCCTGGATACGCCTTCGGCAATCCATTTTTCATCCTTGGCAGCGTTGAATGCGCTTTACCAGACCATTCGCCCATCCAATTGCAGATATAGTCGGCGTCGCATGAATGAGGACATGAATACCCGCTTCTATTAATATGGAAACTAGCTTGTGATGGACGCATCCTAATAACGAACAGAAAAATAACGAATTAGTTGTTATGTCATAAAGTGACATATTAAATTCGAATATATGCGTGTACATACTGGCTCATCACCAGTCATCCTGAATCTGCCGGTAACATCAAAGCTGCAGTCTCCATGATGAATACGGACTTAACACCAAGTTTGCGCTTAACTTCTTCCCAATTCAAATAGAATGACGGTTAGGATGACGTAGGTCCAGTTTACCCTTTCCCTAACATAATCACTTCATCGCAGTAAGTTTGAGCAATTAGACACACTCTGTGATTTGTAACATTTGTTAATGAGCGAGCACATGTGGGATACGCTGATCTCATTATATCACAAGTGGCTTCGTCAAGCACCGGAGGGTGCGACGAATTGACAAGCCATATTGCAACTTGCATCAACATATGCCAGGATAGTGGAAATGGTGTTAAAGTGAGGATTTCAGATGCGATAACTGGAATGTAATGACCAGCGTAACTAGATGATGAAAGCAAAATCATGTTAATATAGCTCCGTACTATAACGTTTGTGGCACAGTAGGCTGACTTACAATTCACTAGCAATATAAAAGTCTAATTGGCCACTTTTGTTGATACTCGCTGAAGAATATCTGGAGAAACGCTAATACGCCCTGAGTAATAGTAATCACTTACTCTAGTACCATAAGAAAATCCAACGTTCATTGACTGTTTAAATCGGAAACTGTCAACATAAAATAGATCTAAAAGTATGGAACGGCGACAAATGCGTGAGAGAACATTCGCTCTACCTGCTCTAAGAATATGACTGATGTATTGCATTGTTAATCCATGAATAAGAATTAAACGTTTGTCGGTTCCGTTAGCATTGACCAAGCATGGACCGAATTCATAGAATAATCCAATCATGGTGCTGCATCCAAGACCACAATTCACCTGATAGTGTATACGTATATTGTTAGATAAGATAATCGGGCTTTCATAATCAACTTGATTGGAAGTAACAACATACCCAAAGGACAATTGGATCAGTTGAGGGATTGTTTCTCGACTCAAAGAACCAAAAGATATTTTTATTACTGCCGACATCAAGATAACCATTGTAAGAGTGAGAGTAATGAGCAAGGCTGGCAGTAAAGCCGTCAATCGGATAGAATGGTCAGGAAAATCGTCATGTGTCAGTATCCCAAAGTCATCCAGCCGTTCTGGCAGACAATGCTCGATATCTTTTCGAGTGGAGGACGCGTAATCCTGGTCGACGAATTCTGCGTTATTGAAGACAAAAGCCGAATGAAGCATGAGAGAATCGGACAACGTATAGACACTATTTTTTACGGTGATAAGATGAAGGATAAATGAATTAACTGGCAGAACAACAAACCTACCTCGACTCCTTTTTTATTAGCGAGGCAGCGTATGATGCGCCATGAAGAGCACATTCTTTTGTGCGCGTAATTGCTATATCACATACCATTGTTTTAATGAAGATATCAGACATTGTATCATTTGGGACCGGTTAACGTTTACAGAAATTTCCTTACATTCGACTTTTCTGTCAAATAGATCTCGGGACAACACGGATATACTCTCTATCATCACCTTATTCGGCGTGTCGACTTTCTGGAAGCCTCGAATTCCATCTGTCGTTTCTGATTCTAGAAAAGATTCATTTCGCTTTTTGAATCAATTCTGGATTGTCGCCGTTCAACTTCATAAATGTACCACTGCAATTACTAGATGCGTTCATGGCTGTGGAGATACTGTCGATCTTCTCTGCATCTTGTGGCACCAACACGAAACCGTGACCGTGACACATTCCGCCACGCTAAGTTCAATGGAATTATTCAAATCTGCCAGAATGTATGGAGTCTACAAATTGTAAATCGGCACTATCTGCCAATAAATAATTTAAAAATAGTAGTAATGAGCATATAGTACAGTAGTAGCTGACGGTGTTTTAACAATTTTGTACAATGTTATCTTAATGCACAGTAATAGATGTTTCTTCTTCTGGTACTCTGAGTCGAGAAACAACTTCTTAACTGATCCAGTCGTCTTATGGGTATGCTGTTACATCCATCCAGTCGACTATGAATACAATATACGTATACCCACTGCCGGCTGAATAATGGTCCTGGATGCAACTCTACGACTGGGTTGTTCTTCGAATTTCTATGCTCGGTCAACACGACGAACTGACACAACTTTAATCCGTATCATAGACTGCATCAGTCATACTTTAGATCAGGTCAAGCAAACGTTCTCATACGTTGCCATACGTCTAGATCTATGTTCAACGTTGAAATTCCAATTTAAACACAGCCAATGAACGTTTCTCCTAATAAGCAAATAAGAACAAATTAGACTTTCATATTACTGATGAATCGTAAGTCAGTCTACTATGCATAGTGACGCAAACGTTATCGTACGGAGTTATATGAACATAGTTCGCTTTTATCATTTAGTTATGCCGGTCATTACATTGCAACTATGCCGTTGCCGGTATCCATTTTGCACACATCATGAAATACAATAACAAGTATTTTATCAACTTCAAGTCTGTTCTTATTGACAATGGTATCGTTAATCTTCTTGTTCAACACTGATATGACTTGCAATTCATCGTTACAAATACAAAGCATGTCTAATTGTCTACGACTCAATTTTACCTTGATGAAATAATTATGGATAACATATTCGCGTTAGGGAAAGCGTAAAAGGAGGCCAACGCTATCCCACTTTTAATTTTAGACACATTGAACCGGAAGAAGTTAAACGTAAACTTGGTGTTTAGCAATGTTTTCATTATGAAGGCTGTAACAGATTCATGTGATTATGATGACAAGGCAGTATGGATACGCATATATTCGTGGGCGTCCTAATCCTAAATTCGTCACCTTGTGACCATAACAACTAAACTTTTTTTTCAGGATACACAAACTAGTTCCAAATTATTTGACGCGGATATTCGCATCGGGTTTCATTTATATATTGAATAAACAAACCACTTGAGGATTTTTTGAGAGATATCTACCTCTGACTCTGAGATTGCGAAAACGATCGAAAAGAAAGATCAACAGTTGAAGCTGTCATCATTTATTTATTAAGCCAAGATGTAAGTATCTCCAGGAATTCTATGTTTACCTTCCTTCTTGTGGACTGCGATAAGTAACAAAGATGTCATAGGACTCGAAAGCCCTACAAATTGCATTTGGCAAATCAGTTGCGTCTGCTTGTGAACAGAGCGATAAAGCGACGGAGTTGCTGAGCCTCATCGTCCGCGTCCTTAACAAAATACAAGAAACTTATGAAAATAAGCGATAAACAAGACACGATGACATCCATACCAGATCCGAGTATACCAGTGCACTTGAATTTCGCGGCAATGAGGCATGAGTAAAGGCGATCGAATGGTTCTGGAAAAAATATTCAACGCTGTTGCTGCCAAGGATGAAAAATGGATTACCGAAGACAAATCCAGGACATGGGCTGGCCATGTCAGAAGTTCAGAATTATTAACTTGGCTTAGAGTCTTTGAGCTGGTCATATGGTACCTCACGGCCAACCCTCAAACAGTTTAGACTTCTTTAATCGTTGCATTCAGAAGAGAAAGCTGTGTGCATTAACTCACATACACTGTACCGATCTATTTATAGTTGATGAGCGTTTTGTGTGTAAGAGTCGTTGCGACGCTACTGATTTAATTCGTATTCGATTCTCATTCGTCGACAGAAAATCTGAAACGCATAACCAACATTCAAAAGGTTGCCATCTCGAGAATTGATTCCAAAAATGAATATCAAATGCACAACTTTATCTCACCATTTATTAATTCTTTATTTTTTTTTCAATTTATTCGAACAAATTGAAACAAACGTTCAAAACCCAGTTTGATAGTGTTTTCCGATAACTGTAGAATTGGTTGGTAATTTTTTGCCCTCGTTAGCTGAACAATGGCCTTGCTCTCTCTGTAAAATAGTTTTCGTCAATTTTATTCTCTATCTAATGTTTATGCATATAGTACAATACATAGCCATGTTGCACATAGTCGCAGCAGCTTCCCAAATATAACAATGTACTGTATAATTGCCGAAAGAGAAAGCCGCCAAACTGAACTGGAAAAAAAAACAAATCGAACAAATTGAGACAATTTTTTTTGCCGATGAAATTTGAAAATTAAAAGCCACATAAATTGTTATAATTATGAACCAATTTTAGGTGGTATTTGGGATTGGGATAAACTGAGCGGGTTCTCTTTGTTTATTTTCTTGCGGCAAAAATGTTACTTTCCTAATCATTATATTTTTTATTTAAATCATTAATTGAACCCGCTTCATTATTTTTGCGCTATTACGGAAAGTCCCCCCAGTTTAGTCAAGTAGAGAGTACGCATATTGTACGATATCAATGGTATAATTTAGAGAGGTATTGTTTCTGAAGTCGATGTTTAACTGAAGAAATTTGTTATCAATGTTCTGCGAAAGTTTATGAAATTTATTACAAACTTTGCGTTCTAAATATGTTGACAAACACGAGCATTATGGCTCATTTGTAGCAGAAATGTTTGCAATCTTATAGTGTTTGCAATTATCCTGAAGATAAATGTTTTGTGTAATATTTATTGCTTCGACTTGTATGAAATAGATTTCGAATACATATATCGATCATAATCTGATGTCAGAAAAGTCAATAACACTAGTACTAGATATTTATGAAGGACTTACTGCTCACAACGTATTAGTATTGCACCCTTGTCTTTTATACCTGAAACTCAATTGACATTTCATAACTATTTCTTGGTTTAGGCAACTCTCCAGTAGGTAAGAGCTTACTAGAGTATTTACTCTCCTTTTCGAAACGTGATAATGGCGTTACATCATTATAGTAAACGGTATTCCACACGTCGTCACGGTAGTATATTAATATTTTCTTATGAAGTTCATTAATATCATTGTGAAGTGTCAATGCAGTAGGACGCTTATCCGGATCAGCATCACAACATCGCTCGGCCAGTTTCTTGTATTTCTCTGGTGCGGAATCTGGCATCGATGGTCGTAATCC